AAGACTCGTTCATCACTTCAGGTATGGAATTTTTCTAATGAATTTGTAATGTTTATTATTTTTGTAGTTCAATATATTACCACCGACCAGTACAGCTTGGTTAACTGTACATCTACCTTTGATTTCATCGGTAAAGTGGTTAAACATCACACTAACATTAATAATATTACACAGAGTTGATTAAGAACAATAAAAATATATCTATAGCTACTCGGACATAGTAGATATTAAAATTAATAAATAAAATAGGGAAATAACTTTTCTTTGTTTCTTATCATTTGCCTTATGCATTATAATATATTATATGTTATAATGTGCATGGAGTTAGAGAAAAAAATATTTTTTTCCGTGGCTGCAGCCTTCTGGCTTATCTGTGCCATTTATTTTTCAGCGTCTTGAGGAAGAAAATGCTCATCTACAGCTAGAACTTCAAGCTAGAGATGATCTCATCAGGGTAATTAATAATTATTAAGTTTTTACAACCTTTCTTCTTTGTTTGTTTGTGTGAGACCAGTTGAGTGTTTCAGTGACCCAAACTATACCGGAGACGAATTATCCAACATGTCACTCACTCACTCACTCCTTCCTCTTTGATTCTGATGGAACATAAGTCGTCCACTAATGCCAACCACCTGACCCTATTTTGTGCAGTGAGTTTCACTTCCTGCCATGAGCTGTCTCTCCTCCAACTCTGCCATTCTTGTGCGCCTCTGGTGTGCTGGGGTCCAACATGTCAGGAGATGATTTATTTGTTTGAGACGGGTAATTCCTTTAGAGTTAAATTCAGGTTTTAGACAAATTGTGGGCATAATGATTTGCCCCGAGCTTAATATATAATTGGTTATTGTCATGAGTTTAATTTATGATCTTGGTGATAGCCAAAGTTTTGGAGTGCGTGCAGATGCATGAATCAGAACTTCCTAATATAATCACGCCTGACCGCTCACATGGTAATATAAATAAACTATTTGAACGTAATTTCATTTTCTTTGAAAACTCTGACATCCAAACTGAAGGGTTTCCTAAGTCTCTTGAGGTCACATTTTAACCCCTGTGCTTTTTTCAGCTTAAGGCTGCAATAGTTCATGAAAATATCTACTATGGTTTTTTATTATTATTATTATTATTATTATTGACTGCAGGCAGCAGAAGATGACCAAAGACAGCATGCAGAAGACATGTCTAAA